AACGCTTATTTATGTGAATGATTAAAAATAACTTGATGTAATTCACAGACACTTCTACGAGGAATGTAAATCAATTGTGGAATAAATTAAATTGGTGACCACTATGTTAAAATATCTTTCAACTAAAATATATGTTTAGTTTGTTTAGGAACGTAGACTATCATCAATGAATGAAAATAGACGAAAAACGATAGAAGTAGTTTGTCTTGCCGTCTGTCATGTTTCTCCTAACCAACGAACTAACTGAGATATTACAAACCAACATGAACACAAGGACCAAGGTTACTAACACGAGTACCTGAGAGACGAAATGAACCCCGTTGAGAAATGTTGACAGTTCTCAGTAGTGCAGTGATAATAGGAAATTGATCGGGAACGTGTTACGTATTCGCGCCTCATATCTAAAATTTAAATCGTATAGAAAGAAAAAGAAATTGTCGCATTATTCTAAGCCATGAAATGACTTGAGGATAATCAGAGTACATTTAAGGTCATGACAAATTGTTTTTTACACATAAGAAAGGTTTAAATTTACGAATTCGTATTTGACAACTTTTTCAAAGCTTTGTTAGCTTCAATTTTGCGCGCCGTTTCAATAATATGTTTCGCTATCGATGAACATGGTTTTTTACATTCCATGTTGATCGGATCATTTGACACTAATTAGCCCTGAAGTCATCTAAGCACATGTTCAATGATCCTTGATTGTATTGTTTGATTACTGCGCATTATGTAAGTGTTTGTTCACACAAGCATGTAAATTGACAAATACAATGGGATGTGACGTGATCGTTTGTGCATTATCTAGGTCTATTTGGAATCACGACTTTAGACTTTTCAATCACAACCAATTGAGCAACATAATAGGTCTACTCAATGGCTGCTTTTAATCTCTGTCTTAAAACTATACTATTGGATTCATATCTGCATGGCAGATAGTTATAAACGTTTTCCTTTCAACCAAATAAACAAGATGTAATGGCGTTAGCTGACTTTTGCACGTATTAATAAACTTTAGTAGATAATCATTTGATAATGATGCGCTAGTTGGCAACTTTTCATCCCTTTCAACTGTATCTCTAGTGCAAAATCTTTGAATCCTATTAAAGAGACACTTAATTAAGCCTCTCTTGTATTGGAATGGGCAGAGACTGTGAAAATTTAAGTATCGATCCTTCCAAGTTTGTTTCCAGTAAACTGATTGTCTTATGGTATCATTCTTCCTCGGGCTCCAGGGTATGTCTCCAAAGGACAATTGGCCATTATTTTCTGCTTTTTAAGTTATGAAAATGTTCTGAACCTCGTTGTGTTTATCTAATCACTGGGAAACCTCAAAATCTTTATCGCAAATGAGTTGTATATCATCCATGTATCTTCTGTACAAAGTTGCTTCGCTTATGAGCTCACTCGTCATATTTTCAATATATGACATATATACATCAGGTCAGAGAGGTCTCAAAGTGCTACCAAGAGCAACTTGTCGAAAATATCCGCCCTCAAACATGAACTGAACATTCGCAGTACGTAATGAAAGTAATTATTTCAACAATGATGACCAAATAGGAAAAAGGGAAAAATTAGTAGACATTTTGTTTCTGTAGTTAACCATCGTGCTATTGTGAGCAGAAACCAAGTAGTAGTGAATGGGTCTTTATTTAGATTTTCGCGCATTCACAGTGAAGCGTGGGATTCCCTTTTCAGACAAACAAAGCTTCTCAACATTCAGTATGAGATAATAGAAAATATAATACTTGAACAAAATAAGGAAGTGAATGAATGCTTGAAATTTATTGTTTTCATATATACTTAGTTGTTTGAACTCAACTTGACCCATCAACCTAACCTGTGACATTAGCTCCCACCTAGGAACGTCGGTTCGATTAACCTATCTATCAAAAACATCTTAGTTCTGTTTCTGCAGCCCAAGGGAGAATTTCCAACTCACTCACTGTTAGACTTCTAATGAATGCTTTTAACTCCGTCAGCAATCGACGATAGTCTATGGATGTTATTTTATTTAGTAGCATGTAATTTCTTCTACAACTATCGCTGACGATTTGCTACGTGCTTGCAAGAGAAAAGAAAGGGAGAAAATGAAACACGAATATCTGGGGAAGTACCTAAGCTGTTACAGATATATAGATACAACTGTAGTCCACAGCCTAGTTAACGATACGTTCGTAAAAACGGAGTTTACATCAAAAAATGCAAAGTCTTATCTCTGATATCAATGTCCTCAAGAAAATCAGTTGATAGAAATGTCTATGATATTCATTTTAAGAGGTTTTAGTAGATTAATCTCTATTCTCCATTCCAATTTTCAAACATTAATCTTGATTGGAAAGTCCTGCGTGAAATTGCTCTGATCACCACATGTGGATAACATTTATAGTCACATTTATTAATGACAACCGCCACTGAAACTTTTTGAGGTCTAAAGATCACGATATTTGACTTAGTTTGGAGGTTTACCAAAGCGGCGAAATGTTTAGAAGTCCAAATATTCCTGTATTCGAGAGCCGTAAAGCAGGTGGGTAATAACCATTAATTTTATTTTCAAACAATTGTGCTTTTCTAGGGTGGTTGGGAAACAGGGTGCGACCGATCATAAAAATTTCCAAACTGACCATCTATCGATAGATCAGAAATCGTGTAATTTGCAACAAAGAAATTAAATCCGAAAGATAAGGCTTCTATCTCAAATACAGAAAGTTTGAAAGATAGTCAATTCGATACATACTTATCAGGGTTAAATTGAAATGAATTTCCATCATTATCATGAACAAGAGATTTGTTCAGCCTTTCTATACTACTAGTAGTATTAGTATTAGTAGTAGTAGTAGTATTAATAGTACCGATTTCTCACTGACACATTTCAATAAACTTTGGTCGTTCTTTTGTAGTGTCATCTGAGCACGTAATTACGTTGTGGCTGTCTGGGCCAAATCCATTGGTATGTTTACGTTTGAGAGATCAAAAGATCCATAATATCTCATTGTGTTCAAAAATAGCTTTTTCTCACTTTGAAGTTACCGTGACTTATTATTAACACTTTTTTTTATTCATTTTCGTCGGTTATGCCCTCTATATTAATAAAAATTAGTCTAGTTCGACTATTCTTCTTCATATATAAATATATCAACAAGCGATTGAATAGTCAGATATTTATTTGTAATGTAATATGCCGATAGATATCCCACAGATTATGAAAGTTCTTATCTTGATATGTTCTCGGGCTATTTTTCATTCTCTACCCTCATGAATAAGTGTCAGTGTAAATTAAACGTCTGCCATGAATTACAGATTATATAAATAAACAGTGGTCATGGTTAAACGTTTATAATCATTTCATTTGTGTGGAATGTTCCTTCGTTTACAAAGATAGTTTGAAATAGGTTTCACTAATCGATATAATAAGATTGATGTTCTGACTGAAATATAACATTGTGATGCAGTGATCGCTGTCTACTTGCTTTTTCATAAATTCTTATCTCCTTTCACAGTTGAAATTATGTCGGAAACTCCAACCTCATTGTTGATTATTGGAGCTGGTCTACCACGGAGCGGAACGATGAGTATGAAGAAGGCATTGGAAATAATTTACTCTCAACCTTGTTATCATGGTTACGAAATTATGACCGGAAAACAATGTGACATTTCTAAATGGCAAACGCTTGCAGACGAGGCACGAACGACACGTCGTGAGGAGAAGATGTATAGATATTTGTTTGAGATATTGGATGGTTATGTAGCTGTGACTGATATTCCGTCATGTGCATTCTACAGTGAACTGATGAGTATACATCCATATGCGAAAGTAAGACAACGGTCATATTGTTATGTGTTTTGATTTTTGATAATAGTTTAATACACACGTATGTTGATCATACAAGGAAATTAATGCTGCATACACTGGTACAAAGGTGGTTTGGGGGTTTACATCATGCGGATGCTTATAATCTCTGGATTTCGTTATTTCAAGTTATTGATATCTCTGAAACTCTTATTTGTTAAACGGGTATATACCACAACGTTTGAAAACAGATATCAATCATCTGGTGTTTCGCTATACCGTAACCACGTACTTTATTTACGCAGTATTTTAATGACAGGTACTGGGATGTTCAGTTGCTTTGATAATTAGCAATAAACGATTCTCATACTAAGTCAACTAAAATGTAACTTGTTAATAAAATTAATAGTTAGGTGACTTTCGAACCTTTTTAATTGAAACATATCATTCTTGTCATTTCTCAAAAGACTCTTCACTCTTTCTCATATACTCACTCATCTTCATCAATAACACAATCCATTACATTGATGATAACCATTGGGGGTGATCTGTGTTGACGTTATGGCTATTATGGTCATATGGGCATGGTGTGAAATAGCTGACTAATATTTCCCAATCACTGTAATACCTGACGTTAATAAGCCTACTGTAATATCCAGGTGTTGGTGTTACTTAGATGACTGTATAGAATAAACTGAATATTGCTTACAAAATGTGTTACAGGAAAAGACATAAGAGCTCAATGGAAGATGCCCAATGCTCACTGTTTGTGACTGATTAATCTGCGTCAGTCATCACTGACATGGATGACGTTAGATAAATTTTAGGCCTCGTGAATAATATTTATAAGGCTCACTGACACCGCACTCACGCTACACTATTTCTAAGCTAAGCATTGTGAAATTCGTGAATGTCTTTATAAATCGGTGATGAAAAGTTTTATTCGTGTGCTGAGAGTGAGTATTTATAGACTTATAACAGTGAATTTCGAGAGTAAAGTTACCACGAATGATGACTCAATAGCTCAAACAAACGTGATCTTTAAAATAGATCAAAATATTGTTTCAATATACATCTTTGAATGACTTTTGAAATGTGTTATTTCTATACCAATAATAAGTTAATACACCATAAATCTCGTTTTATACAGGTTGTGCTAACAGTACGCGATAAAAACGATTGGTTGACCAGTTTTCGACAAGTTATAATGCCAAAATCCGATGACCCAAGTAAAAAGCAGTTTGAGGAAGCGAAAAGACTTGCAGGAGTCCCCGTTGAGTGGGATCAACTTCTTACTGACTCATTGAAACTAGCATTTCAGAAAAATGATATTGATTTTGATGATGATGCAATGTTGCTTGAATGTTACGAAGAACATATCAAAACTCTTCAGGAAAATATACCATCTACACGTCTTCTGGTACATCGACTTGGAGATGGATGGGAACCATTGTGTAGATTCTTGAATGTGGACATTCCAACTAACATACCATACCCAAAGATGAATCAACGGTCTGATTTAATAAAGTTAAGTGAATTAATAAAGAATTGTGGATCACTTCAGGATGTCGCTAGAATGCATCCAGGAATTATATAAACTTGAAGTAAACACGAATTGTATTGAACACTGACGTTATTATTAGCTGGGAAATAAAATTGTTATCAAGCTTTGAATTCCACCTTGTTATTGACGGCCATTGTAATTTTAATGGAAAATAAAGTCAGTATAATAAACCATAACTTTGGATTTCTCCATTATTATCTTGTTACACATAATAATGCACATTGAAAATAGCTAGTTTATCACAGTCAAAAAACTGAATGTAGGGATGACGTGATGAAGGTTATTGAACTACATTTAGGTGTCTTAAGCAGTGATTAGAATTTCAAGAGCAACAACTTTGCCAACCCGAGCCATGTTGTTAGGAGAAATTTGAACTTGCGGCTGAACTGGTATTATCACGTACAATTGATTCTATAACTTTTGTCAAATGAACTGAGTGTCACTATAGGAAACAATTGGTATAAATTGGTGGTGGTGATTACTGGAGATTAGAAATATGAATATCCAGCAATTGTAATATTTTGAGCTACTGATAAACATGATGTTGATGCAATCGATGACCAAAACAAACTTGTTAACTCTTCTACATGATCCTTCACAATGTATAACCGGTGAGTTGTTCAGTCTCAACTCCCCTACACAGGAAATGAGGGGCATAGTTGTCAACAATTAACACAACTTTCACCAACACTTCAAACTTATTTTGGGGTTTGTAAGGAAATAATTCTATGTCATTTGTGGGTACAGTGGATAATTTTGTTTAACGAATGAAAAATATTGATTAAAATTATATGGAACAAGTAAAACCTCGAAAGTATTCAGTCGTTTATTCTGCGAATAGAATAGTCTGATCTGTTCGATAGTATTCTGTGTGTATGTGTAAATTCCTCCATATCTGACTTCAATTAATACTATCCAGTTAACTGAGCGTTGAACGCAGCCGAAATCTCCTACTAGAATTATGGATTTACTCGAGATTATTCGAAAGTCTGAACATCAGTTATCGGGATAGTTTAATGTTAAAGATTGGTAAAACCAGCAGGCATGTAGGATACAAGAACACAGGGAAACGAGTGGGACTGTGTGAGTGTTGAAAATCCATATATAATTATTGATTGTTATTTGATTGTGGATAAATTATTAATTGTATGTGTGAGTTACAACCCACGGGAGAATAGATTAAAGATTGATATGGAGACTCACGCTTAATCGGACTCACACAATACTTGACATAGTGAATTAAGTGTCTTAACTGCAGTGAGTAGACAAATATTAAAGTAGTTGAATGGGATTATTGCATGTGACGCGAGATGTGGAAGTGATACCGATTTTCACGTTTTGACCATTTGTGGGGTTTATTTGAGGTGTCTTTTCATGAATCAATGGTTGCTTGGTAGTTGATGAATGCCTGATTCCTGATACTAATACAATATGAAACATCAAAATCTGTAACCCTTATATCTGACGATTCAGTACGCGTCAATTTCAAACCTTAGCATTCCGAGCCCTACCCATCTTATCCACAAATATGACCATCACTACCTGACTGTCCGTGTAACAACTGTTTTCACACGCAGACTAACAAAATTGATCAGAGTACTGGTCACTCCACCCGCCCTCAAAAGGTTTAGACCTAGTGGTAAATATGATAATAATAGGTTTATCACCCCACACCTTATATCCATTCTTCGCGGATTGCATATGCAATTACTTTCGTGAGAAAACTTTTCAGTAAGTACTCCAACCTCTTCCTGCTGAATGATCTCTTCAAACAACTTCACTGGCTCATTCTATATCTTCTCACAACCAATGTTTTCAACGAAATGAAATATTGAGGAATAAACATCCCATCGCCTTGAGAACTTCGCTATCGCTTTCTGCTGGTTGTATTAGTGCCATGACCGACCTTTACGAACAATTGCCAAATACATCATTCACCGACTTGTACTGCCCTACTACACCTATTACTGTGGATCTTTGGAATGTAATCAGAATGAACGTATAAATGACAGTTTTCATTCATGTACATTAGCAGATCTAGAATACACTCCGAAAATTGCGAAAGATTTTATAAACTCATTGAAACCTTTTTTTGTATGTGTTTATAATGGTATACATTTTTTACAAGACATCATGCAACCTTAACCTCCTCTTTCACATTCATTGATCAGCTTTCAAATATATATATATATATATATATATATATATATATATATATCTTGATAGCAGTGTTATATACTAAATCAATATTCAGTCGACAATACAAAGGCTTCAGATGTCTCATTTACTTGTAGCGTGAAGCTAGTATTGACAGAGTATTTCAAATAGGTATACAGCATAAAGCTTAGATCAAAACAGCCTAACATCAGAGAAGGAGATCGTGATCTTACTGACGTTACGGATCGTTATAGTCAAGTGCAATTCGCACGAACTAATCAAATGATACTGAATATTTCTTCGACTCATGCCTGTGTAAGAGGTCACACCCTAATTCTTCCATCACAAATGACCAAACTTCAATATTTAGTAACACTGTCCTTCTGGATGCTCAACCTTCCCATTTCCAGCACCCTCACGGTATACCAAAGATAATATTTGTGGAACATAAGACATTGTGCTGCGCCATCACATGTACCTCTGTTATTTATCTGGGATTATTATCGAGCAGGATAAACTAATACGTTCATGTTGTTGTCTTTGATTGACTGCTTTCAACCATCAGTTGCTTGTCGTAATGCCACTACCACAAAGCGCGCCAAAAATCATATTCGACATCAGAGTTAATGTAGGAATGTTCTTCGAATATGGACGACTTTATGTGACAGAATTTCTGTCTATTTGATTCATGAAATTTATACAGATTACAGTGTCAAGTTTACACTACCGATTACTGACCACATTTAAACAAGTACACTGTTTCATGCTACGTTCATGTCACTTACATCAAGAATACATTGCTGAAATCAGTGTTCGCGTTGACATTTGACTAAACAAGTACATTTTCAAGAGTCTTACGACCTATCAGTTATCTTTCATTTAGTCTAATCGGAAATCACTAAATATCATTTCAGTTCAGTAGGACAGTGTGATATAAGAACAGTGGATTAATTGGGATGTTTACTACTACATGAAGCAATTGTGGATGGTGCTGCGTAGATCAACATTTAGGATAATCCATCGAAGCATTGTGCTCATAGGACTCAAGAACGTCACGTGTATTCTCATGAACTGAGAAGCTTAAAAACATTGCCACATATTCCTGTAACTCTTGTTTAATATCTGAGCAATATAAGAATCTGGTAAATGTAGTATTCTATCCATCTCAATGTGTTAGACCAATTGATGTATGATAAATGAACGTGCATTTAATCCATTCATTTCAAAAGTGACACTTATTATAACTTCCATTAATGGTATACGGTCATTAGTTCTTGATGAAATTTCGCCGTCCGAGATGAATTGTCTTGTGGTGAAGCTTTCAAAGTTCTTTTAAGTGACATCATCACCACTCCTAACTGAAATCTGTGCTGATTGAATTCAATTCAACGTGGTTCTGTGTAAAGAGTCATGAGAAGCTTGAGCTTTGCATTCGCATTTTTAAGCCAAGTTTTAAATGAATGTAATCTCTGTTACGAAACGCTTCAAATGATTGAACAATCACGGTTAACATGGTTCGATAGCGTTCCAGAATCTCATATGACCAAACACAGTCAAAGTTATTAATTTATGAATATGAAATAATCTACTGAAATACTTCTAATTCCGATAAGTCTACAATTTCGATAGGACGCAAACACGTATTCGAATCTGAAGTATGCGGAATGCTATTGCTTTGTATTATTCAAATGTATTAAACAAAACATAAAATACTTTGTTGTACAGTGAATGTACTAGTTATTCTCCACTTTATTGTAAACATCCCAGTAATTAAGGAATAGAATGGATTCAGTCAGATGTAATTCATGACCTAAGATATGTTTCTTGAAAAAGGGATGACGGATAGCATAACCTCTATTAAATTATGAATTGCTTATATATGCTTATCAGAATGATGCTTGACAAACCGAAGTTCGGATGTAGTCTGAAGTGATCCACTGACTGCTTCAACGACTTTAAGCCAGTTTCCTACTTATTCATCACATGATCAATATCTATAGATACTAGTCTGACTATCTTTTGAATGACCATGACTGTGACAATTTAATACTCTCACGCTTCTTAAATGACGTTTTGCATACTCAGTGATTAGGAAGAATTATTAGCTTGAATTAATTCATCATATTATTTTCTTAATTCATTGCGACTGCTAGTGCCTGACTTGTATGAACATTCCACCTACAACACTTATTCTCTCATTTCCCCGCTTCGGTCTGTCATCGATTTAGCCAGTGTGTGCATGCAGTTTATAGTGATATTTACATAACACTAGGTCAGCTAAGAACTTAAGCTGGTGGGATGGACAAGTATACTGAATGACTTTACAAAACATAAGGTTCCTATCGAAAACATTAGGGAAATTCAAATATACTGATAAGTAACTTGAATGCAATATCTTCATATAAATACATAAAAACACCACATATTACAAGGAAGAGATTCATAGATAGCTACATACTTAAAATTGATCCAACCTACTTAATATCAGCAAGTAATATAGTGTGATACACACAAAACGAGGTTGGATAAGCAATAATCCTCTCCGAATTGACAAGTTCACTGAACAAATAAAATAAACTTAAGAAACAGACTAATAAGTACCGTGTTTATATAGTCCCCTAACGTATCGAGTGAAGGCGGTGTCTGAAGCTCAGCACAACTGATAAACAATATACCACACTGAGATCGATCAATCAATCGTTGAAGATACATTCTGAATAAAACAACTATTCCAACAAACCATATGATGCATTAATCCAATACAAACTGTGATAATTAAAGAAACACCTATTGACTATAGGATGAAATGTGTTGAAGCACATCTCAACATGCAGATAAACCTGAATTATGTGACACACGGAACACTCAGAACTGCA